TTAACATCCCTTTGTAAGACAAGCCTTCTTGAACGCTTAACTCTTTAAAACACATGAATATGATGACAGCGTAAGGTCCTTGTCTTGCACATTCATAGTGTCTTCTCATATCTGGCTTCTTGGAGAAAATTATTTTAAGTAGGCTTTTGAGGAAGAAATTATTAAGATACATTGTTTTACAATTTTTACTAATAAGACCAAATATATTAAAGGTATTTTAAGTAGCTCAATTAAGTAATGGAAACTGGAAAGCGATAAAACTGCATCTTAAGAACGTGTAACGAATTTTTGCCAGTACTGAATAAAATAGTCAATATAGTACAAAATTTAGATCTTCCATTTAATTTAAGTATTCACCCAGTATAAACAAGGTTAAGTATTTTGAAGTACTTAATCTTGAGTTAATTAAAGAGTCTGATAAATTAGCTTTGTCCTTTTCTGTGTTTTTTGGATGTATCAATAATTGATTTGCTGTGTAAATTGGCAAGATTCATTTGTTGTTACACTTTCTAGCTACTGGTGACAATACCAGTTCCTGTCCTTTTATTCAGTGTGGAAGGTCAACAAGATAGTTACACAAACCATATTTGAGAATTAAAGTTCTGCTCCTGCAGTACAAGATCATCGTCTAGTAGAATGTTATAGTCTGAGGAGCTATTTCTGTCAATGACATACTAATTACAGCACCCCATTTTAAGAATAATGGGTCTTTGAATGACAAAATGGAAAAGTTATCTGATGACCCACAAAATACAGTTAATTAATTTGATAAAGCTTTGCATAATTTAATTTCCTAATGAGTTTCTTAATGAAGGCAGTATTTTACATTTAAATGGAATGTGTACTTTGTAATAATAATAGTTTTCATAGTCATGAAGCCCAGTGGTGACATGATATTAAAAAAAAAAAAAGTGTAGCTTCTGGGGCATTTTTGTATCAGTTATTGTATTTTCATAGAAGTGGTAAATAGTGGGGAATATTAGGGTCTTATACTGTCATGTTGGTGTTGATTGTAATACCAAAGTTATGATTAGCTTTTAACATTTCATGTATACACTGAAGTGTCATCTTGCAATAGCAATGAACCACAGTAATTAAGAGCAGTGCAGATTATTTCCATATTCTTGTAGTCAAATAATATAGCAATCTATAATGGTTCCATTGTTTGAGTTGCATGACAAAAAGTTATGGGGTTTTCTTATGGAGCACTGCCGTCCTTTTAGATTTTTGGTGCCATTAAAGAAGGAGTATATAAGGAAGAGATGTGAAAACCTAAGTTGCACACAGGGCATCCTGCATTCACAATAATTCTGTTTCCTCATGGTTTAGTCCGCTGTTGCTGACGACTGCATGCTTTTCCAAGTGCAGTTAAAGGAAATGAAGATGATCTTTTGCAAAATATATGGTCAACTATGGCACTGGCCAAATTTAAATAAGAGTGTAATGTGCTTGCTTTTTCCAGAATGAATTTGAATTAGGTATATATTTGAATTGGCATAAGTGTACATGCTTTTTTTTAACTATCAGATAATGTTGGCTTTATGAGTGAGTGTGCGTGTGAACAGAATGCTAGATGAAGGTCTCTTAACACTGCCCTTTTCTACATCCTTTAGCTCTACCTTTCAAATAAAAGACATCCTGAAAACAAAATAATGAAGGAAATAAAATGAGACAGTTCTGAAAACAGAATGTGTTGCTATTGTGTAGCAATAGAAACAAAAGCCTTAGAAGTCACAAGTATCCCTTAGGTGGTGGCTCATTGCTGCTCTTAATTTTTCATGAGTCTAGACTAGGCCAAGGACTAGGTAGAGATCAAGACTGTGAGCTGTATGAATTCCAGCATGATGTTCTTCAGTGTTCATGGCTGCAGAGGGCTGTGCGGTCATGGCAAATTCTGAGTGCTACTTCCTGGTGACGTTTTTCATTACAGATTTTTATTTCCAGGGTTGCTGGGTCAGGTATTCCTGCATTCATTTATATGGCAAGGACCCTGTGAGCCATCTAGTGGGAGGTTTCTTCTTAACACTTGACCATTTGGGAAATCTGTTCCTTGCGCCTTTTCCCATTCAGCCGTCCAGCACCAGCCCCTCAGTCTGTTGGGACTTCTGTCATCCATCCCACTTACGTGTTGTGATCAGATTCCTATGAAGTGACAATGGGAAATGGGGAGCTGCATTTTATTGAGGTTGAATGACAAAAGCAGAACAGACCTTGCTAGACCTCTGTTGTTTGATATATAACACAACCTGTAAAAGGTAGTTTTAATAAACCAGGAAACAGTGGAATAACAAAAGGCAGTTAGGTCAGTTTATGAACCTGTTCATGACAGTTACCTAACTGGAATAAAGAATGCTTATTTGTTTAGTATTTGAATGTTTGTACAAGAAGAAAATAATGTTTTAAATGTCAGCATAAGCTCTTCTTTTCTACAACATGGGATCCAAATGCCTTCTAATGAAAGTTGTAGTGACGGGCACTTGGATGTATGTCGTCTGTAAGACCATGTAAGACAGCTCTAAACCAACTTTAAATTTCCCCCTTTATAAAGCAAACCTATGGTAATTCATGAAGTATCACTGTAATCATTTTTATAACACCGTCGGAAGCTTAATGACCCTTGCTTAGTTTGTAGTAGTAAATCCCATGCAGCAAGTTGGATGTATGCTGCCAAATGAATGTTGACCTGTGGTAGGAATGGGATGGAGCATCTGGGTTCAATTAGAAAGTAAGTTTGGAGAATGAGATTTCAGGGAAGATTGAGCTCCTTCATATGAGGCTGGGGACTTTCGAGTCCAAGCCTGAGTGGGCTAAGGACGGAGGAGATTGAGCACCCTGCAGAGCTAAACACCGATAGCTCTGCTTCCAGGGAAGTGAGCAACAGCAGCAGGACTCGGGGAACAGATGATAGAAAGCTATGCACTTAGGATTTAGACTTTCTTTATATGCTCTGGGGAAGTTGATGGAGTCTGTCAGACATTAAATGGCCTGACTGACTTGCATCTGCAGGTGGGAGTCTCATTCAGGCATGGAATGCCATTTGCTATCTGTTAGAGGCACTTACCTGTATCTATCTATGTATCAAGTAAATAATAGGCAGAGAAAAGTGCAATACTGGATTTTTACTGATAGCTTATAGTACATAGTGATAGTTTACTTTGTGAACTGGCTTTTCAAAGATGCTGCAGTATACCATTTTTTAGGATTCCCCTAGTTTTTAGGATCATATTTTTTAGGATCTTCTTGGATGGAACAAGAACAGTGCATATGCAATATGGCAGATGTTCCAAGAATCTGAGAAACCCACTGTGCCTTCAGTGCACAGTTATTTTTCTCAGTCATTCTGGTCATGCTGAGTATATCCAACTCTTTTGATATTAATGGGTATACTGAGTATGCGTAGATCAACAGATCAGCATATGCAACAGCTGATCTGCAAGGGAATTTTCAAAACGCCATCTGTGCCAATGTACATGTAGATTCTGGTAATAGTTGGAATATTTAGATGTTAGAAAACTTTCAGTGGTTCTTAGTACTGCCAGAACTTTTAATACTAGTAGACATACAGAGATCATGGAGAAATCTGAGCCTCAGAATCTTCCTAGACTACATTTCTGGACAGGAAAATAAGGGTAAGTCTGGGAAAATGGTAATGCTGTACTACAAGAACAGTGAAGCCTTGGGAGATAGTGAGGGCATTACTGATGCTTTTATATTTGAATCATTTATTTTTAAAAAGGTATGGTTATAGATGTTATATTTATAGCAGAATTGCAGTTGCGAAGTGTATGTTACAAGATGTCTCTAGTAGAGAAGTGCTTCTAATACATTTTATCATAGTACAGATTTGGTATACTTGCACATATAATAGTAATATCTCGCAGAGAACTAAGATAACTACAAAACCAAATGGTCTTGGTTTTCTACAGCAAAGTAGAAATGTAATAATAGCTGAGTTACATGCAACATAGTGTTAAATTTGGCAGTAGTTTATTGTCTACTTCATATAATGATTTAGGTTGTCTTTTTAAGAAATTCATTTAGGGTTGATTGTCAGCTACCCTGGTAGTTCTACAGATATTTTGATCACACAGTATAGAATGTGAAATGTTAGCACATTTAGGTTTTCTACTCAGCTTACATAAGGGGAGATGATACAAACCTGTGCTTTCTTAATTCTTCATTAGAATTGTAGAGTGTGTGACAATATGAGAAATCCAGCTTCATATACTCTTTCTGACTGGCGATTGTTGCTGACCCTGACTTGTCATATGTCCCATTCTGCCTGCTGTTTCTTTGATAACACTGCTTCCTTTTTGGTGACATCTAGGTGGCAAACTTTGTTTTCCTCTATTTTTTTCCAGGTTAAAAAATAACAATCAGTTGGTAGTTAAAACTGCCAATTATAGTTGTAACTACCAATTGGTTAAAGCAAAAGAAGTGTACTTCAGGTAACAATCTTTCTGAAAGAAAACCCTGACCTGCTGAGTTGAGTTGGTGAGGCATGCGGAGTATTACAAATAAGAACAACCTTGAAACAGGTGCCTCTCTATTAATGTTCCCTTCAGGTTTCACAGCAATGTTAGTTTCCTCTGTGGAGCAATCTGAAGTTTTCCAGTGCTACTGACATATTTCAGCTCACCTCTCGTTTGCGTAACGCACAGCTGCAGAGAGCTGCAAAAAAGATCATCATCTTGTTTGAGTGGGAATTTCTGATGAATATTTTGCTGAAGTTTGAATATAGATCTTATCTTTTAATCTGGCACACCTCTTACAAAGTGGAAGTAGCACTGTTTGCTTCAAATCTTTAACAAATATATAACAAATACAAAAAAACATATACAATGACAGCATAATATTAATAGAAAAAGAGAATGTAGGTGCTGCTATCTTTCAACATTGGGTAATAAACTTGCCTAAAAATGACATAATCATATTTTCCCAGGTGTGCTTTTGCTGTCCACGTAAAGATTAGTTAATTAGGCTTCATATTGTCTCCACAG